AGAATTGCTTGAACCTGGGAAGCGGAGGTTGCAGTGAGCCGAGATGACGCCACTGCACTCCAGACTGCTGATGGAGCAAGACTCTGTCTCAAAAAGAAAAAAAAAAACAATAATCATCATTGTGCCAAAAAAGCATATTTAGAGTAGCATAGTCTGGTCGGCTACAGGTTGCCTCCACAAAGTAGTACATGAAACACTGCCGTGTATGTTAACTAAGGCTGCTGACGCAAATGAAATATTCATGAACCTCATTTCTTATGCCTATTTCTGGCAACATGGAGTCATTAAGATTTACCAGAATTAAAGTACAATTTTAGAGTAAGAAAATCTCTGTGTGAAAACACTAAAGCTAAATTATGATATGCTTTTGTATCTATAAACTTTTTTTTTTTTTTTTTTTGGAGACTGAGTCTCGCTCTGTTGCCCAGGCTGGAGTGCAGTGGCACAATCTCAGCTCACTGCAACCTCTGCCTCCTGGGTTCAAGTGATTCTCCTGCCTCAGCCTCCCAAGTAGCTGGGACTACAGGCATATGCCACCACGCCTGGCTAATTTTTTTGTATTTTTAATAGCAGGGTTTCATCATGTTAGCCAGGATGGTCTCCATCTCCCGATCTCGTGATCCGCCCGCCTCGGCCTCCCAAAGTGCTGGGATTACAGTTGTGAGCCACCGCATCCGGCCTCTGTAAACTTTTTAAATAGAAATATGAAGTTGTACAAAAGAACTTTGATACAATTAAGGGTTTATTTAGTTTGCTAGATTAGTACTTGCTGCTCATTTTAACTAACATGGCAAATTTCAAGAACATAACTTTAAACTACATAGATTTAAATTAGATGGCCAGATTTAGTTTTTTTGGAATGACATTTGATTTTATGACAAATGAATAAAATATTGCTGATAGTATTTTAAGGTACCAGTTCCATGGGTGGGCAGAAGAGAAATGGTTCCTACTTGGGTATAAGACGTTTAAGTGCAGCTGGAAAATACATGTCAAATGAATGACTCGACTACATCTTACCACGTGCCTGTCTCTTCATAACCAGTGAATTAGGACCACTGCCACAGAATCCCAGACCTCGTGTGAGGGCAACTGGCATTAAGCCTAAAATTGCAGTAACTTCTGAAAGGAGCTAAAAGAATCTTATATATCCCACACACACACACACACACACACACACATTTTTTCTAGGGCTGTGAAACAAACGTTATGCAACAAAACTTACTTAAAAATGTCACATTTAAAGCTATGTATTATTGACTGGTCGTGGTGGCTCACACCTGTAATCCCAGCACTTTGGGAGGGTGAGGGGGGGCACATCATCTGAGGTCAGGAATTCGAGACCAGCCTGGCCAAAATGGTGAAACACTGTCTCTACTAAAAATGCAATAATCAGTTCGATGTGGTGGCTCACGCCTGTAATTCCAGCTACTCGAGAGGCTGAAGTGGGAGAATTACTTGAACCTGCGAGGCAGAGGTTGCAGTGAGCTGAGAGCATGCCACTGCACTCCAGCTTGGGCAACGGAGCAAGACTCCATCTCAAAAAAAAAAAATAAATAAATAAATAAAGCAAGCTATGTATTTTCATTATGTACAGGCATCTCCTGCTTAATATAAGTAACCTGTAAAAATGAAAATGTGCTGTGTGAAAATGCTAATAGAATTCATGATACACCTCAGTCAAATCCCTTAATTTCCTACAAAGACAATGGAAACGCAATAAAACTATCATGCTAGAATGTCAGATGCTTAAAACATCTCTTGGTAATCAAAGTTGCTTTGTGTGCAGTAATATCTTCTCTTCCATATTTGTTTTTCTCACATACTCACGTGGCTTTCTTCTGTACAGTTTTAGACACTTGCTGTACTTTTTTGGGACTTGCACAACACTAGGTAAAAACAAAGTCTAGACGTGGAAGACACTATGAAAATGCATTAAGAGCACATACTGGAAAGTGGAAACAGCTGGAAACTGGTCACACATTTCCCCTATACAAACATCAGCTACAAGATGTTGCAAGAGACAGGTAAGATATGAAGCTTTGAGATTGTATTAGCTTTCTATCACTGCAAATTCAGTGGCTTCAAACAATACACATTTGTTATCTTCGGTTCTATAGGTTGGAAGTTGACACTGAAACTGGCCCAACTGGCCCATAGAACTGATGTTTATCATTCCTTTGACTAAAAATAGAAATTGACCCTCCTGGTCTTGAAACTTGAGAACCTTCATTTGTCTTATCCGAGGTCCTTTCTTCATTTGTCTTATCCGAGGAAAAGCTAATGGGAAAATCCACCATAAGCGCTCCCAAATAGTATTAAGGAGCTGAAACTTACCAGATCACTGCATCTGGACCATGGGAGTCTGGACCCCTCACCTGTTACTACTACTGCCTGTTTGATCACCTGTTTCCTGTCGACCAACTCCTGCCTTACTCCTCCCTAATTCCTGTCTTCCCACACATGTTTACATTTCTTCCATTCCATAAACCCCCATTTTTGAGACTGATCTCCCATCTCCTGGGCTGCAGCACCCGATTAAATCTTTCCCTGACAACACTTGTCTCAGTGATTGGCTTTCTGTGCATCAAGTTGCAGGACCTAGACCAGACCTCTGGTGTTTCAGTAACAACACAAGTGTTATGGGACTGAAATCAAGGTGTCAAGGGGTCAGCAGGGTTGCATTCCTTTCTGGAAGCTCTAGGGGAGAATCTGTTTCTCACCTTTTCCAGCTTCTGAAGGCCGCCCACATTCCTGGACTCATTCTCTCTCCTGGCTCCCTCAATTACAGGAAGAATCGCTTGGCCAACCAGCAGTGGCAGGTTGAGTCTTTCTCACATCTCCCTCTGATTCTCCAATTCTGCCTTCCTCTTTCACTTTTTTTTTTTTTCCCCCGAGACAAAGTCTTACTCTGTCACCCAGGCTGGAGTGCAGTGGTGCAATCTCTGCTCATTGCAGCCTCTACATCCTGGGCTCAAGCAATCCTCCCACCTCAGCTTCCCAAGTAGCTTGGATTACAGGTGTGCACCACCATCCCCAACTAATTTTTTTTAATTTTATTTTTTGTAGAGATGGGGTTGCACCATGTTGCTCAGGCTGGTCTCAAACTCTTGGGCTCAAGTGATCCACCTGCCTTGGCCTTCCAAATTGCTGGGATTGTAAGTGTGAGCCACCATGACTGGCCTCCTTCCACTTTTAAGGTCCTCTTCCTTTTGGAAGAAATTACCAAATTATCTGGGTAGGCCCAGTATAATCACAATGAAATCACCCTTGTGATTACATTGGGCCCACCCACATAATCCGGGATAATCTTCCTATTAAGGCCAGGTGATTAACAGTTTATCTATAACCTTACTTCCCCTTTGCCATGGAAGGTAACATACCCACAGGTTCTGAGGATTAGGACACAGACATCTTTGGGGTGTCATTATTCTGCCCACTGTAGTTATTTAGTTATTTTTGAGATAGAGTTTTGTTCTTGTTGCCCAGGCTGGAGTGCAGTGGCACGATCTTGGCTCACTGCAACCTCTGCCTCCCGGGTTCAAGCGATTCTCCTGCCTCAGTCTCCTGAGTAGCTGGGATTACAGGCTCCTGCCACCATGCCCGGCTAATTAATTTTCTCTCTTTTTTAAGTAGAGATGGGGTTTCACCACATTGGCCAGGCTGGTCTCAAATTCCTGACCTCAGGTGATCCACCTGCCTCGGCCTCCCAAAGTGCTGAGATTTACAGGCGTGAGCCACTGCGCCCGGCCTACTGTAGTTATTAAAATGCAAAACTTTTCAGAAAAAAAGTTACGTGGGCAGACATTTCTGCTGGATATGCCTAGCCATAGTTTGTTTTTAAAAACTCAGATGCTTTTTCAAGTAAAAGTGAATTTCAGCTAAAGTTATGAAACAATGGCATTACCGTGGTTGTGTAAGCAGGACTGGAACTGTGAAAGCTATTATTCATTTTTCCTGTGATATGTATTTTAGTTTGCTAGGGCTGCCATAACAAAGTACCAAAAACTGGGCGGCTTAAACAACAGAAATTTATTTTCCCTCAAATCTGGAGGCTAGCCGTTGGTTGGAGTTCAGAGTTTGGGCAGGGTTGATTTCTTCTGAGGCCTGTCTCCTTGGCTTGCAGATGGTTACTGTCTCCCTGTGTCTTCACAGGGTCTTTCCTGTGTATCTGTGTCCTAATCTCTTCTTCTAAGTGTTCCAGGTAGTCAGACAGGCATGAGAAGGTTCTTCCCCCATCCACTAGGAATGTCAGGTGATGGTTCGGCAGTGACCACATTGCCTCTTTAAAAGTGAGCAACTGGCAGCCGAGGCCAGGGAGGGGCCACTTCCTGATGGCCCACACCTGCTGCACTGAAGTGTTAATTGAATGCAGGTGCCAAAGAGATGCAACTTCCTGGGTATGAACATTAAGGACAAGATGGTGGAGTATGACCTTCCAGGGGCACACCACCAGAAAAGGGAAGAAAGCCTCAGATGGGCGTGTGTAGCTTCCTCAACACTGTGTGTGCTCTCTTCCCAAGTGTAAGGAGGGCGCTGTGTGTGCGCAGGCAGCCCACCCTGAGGGAAGAATCATGGGAAAGGGGCCAGCCTGTGACATCCTAGCTAGGTTCAAGGCTAAACACTGCACTTGGCCTTCAGGTGCCCACTTTTCCAAGTGAAGTTTCCTTTCTTTCCTGGTCTAAAACCTTTTTAAATAAACTTCCATTTCTGCTCTGAAACTTGCCTGATCTCTTTTTCTGCCTTATGCCCCTCAGTCAAATTATTTCTTCTGAGAAGGCAAGAATTGAGGTTGCTGCAGACCTATACAGATTCGCCACCGGTAACTCAGATACCTTCTATGGGTGACACAAGGACAGCAGTCCTATTGGATTAGGGCCACACCAATGACCTCATTATCCTTAATTACCTCATTAGAGATCCGATCTCCAAATCTAGTCACTTTCTGAAGTATTAGAGGTTAAAATTCCAACATATGAATGTTAGGGGAAACTACTTATCCCCTAACAAGATCTAACAAATTTAATGATTAACTTGTAAAAGACTCTACATTAACAGAAGACCACTGGTAAAAATAAAAGTGGGGAGAGTGGGATACAACTTATACACGTGTACTCATTGACAATTACTCTCAGGTAGAATTTTTTCTACAAAAATGGTGATTTATTTCACTTTAACATACAATGGTAGGTATATTGGGGATCATCAAATTTTAAAAAATTTTTGTTGGGCTTACTTTACATATTACAATACTAACGTAAGCTTATAAACTCTTCCATTTCAGTGAAGGAAAGGGATCCAATTGACACCTGCTAGCAGCTTGGCTAAGAATGGACATTAACATCAAACAAAACACTGAAAATATAAAGTACTTTTCTCCAAATGTGTATAAAAGTTTTGAAACAAAATCACTGCCTGCTCCACAGGACAAACAATTTGAATTTCAAAAATGCTCCAGGCCAGGAATTGCATAACCCTGTGTAACAATATTTATAATACAGCTTAACAATATTTTATCGAAGACTTTCTCATTTGAGAGTTTAAAAAAACTGAAGGAAAAGAAAAACAGCCAAGGAACTGCACAACCAAAAAATGAAAATTATATAAAATATTTCCACCACTATTTAAATGCCAAATTTAATCAAGCAATAGTAAAAAAACAAAACAACATAATAATACAACCTTCTGTTTAAAATAACAGCACTGTTCCACCTCTCTTCCACTGAATTTTACATATGAACAGACTATATATACTGGTTTTTCAGAGAAATGTCCATTTGGTCTGCCACACCTGTTGGGCTCATCCTAAGTCCTCTCATTGTCTTCAGAGGACTTGCAACTCCATGCTGTTTCTGTATTTCCAGCCTTCCGGGTTAGGTGCAATGTCTCAAGTATAATACATTTCTCCCTTTTCCTTTACACAGTGCAGAGTATATGGGCTTAGGTTATGTAGATTCCGTTTCACTCCAGGTCACTGTCTTTCTCTAAATTCAAGGCGGTATTCAACGGAGTGCAGTAGTTCGGCTTGTCAGAAGGTACATAGCCTGGCAGACACAAACACTTGTAGGAACCTTCGGTGTTAATGCACTTGGCATTCTTGCAGAGAGACATCCGGTTGTTCAACTCATCGCATTCATTTACATCTGCAATAGGTCAAACGATGCAGGTAAACAATCTTTGATAGTGCTCTGTGAGGACACATAACCTACTTGAGGCTTACCTGAGGCATCGAGGCAGCCTAAACGCTGCCCTTCCCCCGACCACCCCAAGTAAGCAAGCTATCTCCACCTTGCTTCAACCACAGACAAGATAAAGGGGACTTTTTAGATCTTAAAGAGGTAGATTATCAGGGAGGTCCTAGAACTTCTTTCCCTGTTATTTAGCACAGCATGAGCATTTTGTGAGCTTGACATTTTCTAGTAGAACCTCAAGAAAGTTAAGAGGAATTATATTCCTTCCAAATTCCTTCCCACAGGTGTGGAGGAACTGCTAGATTTGTCAAGAGGAACCAGATACCTAAGCAGAGACCTCTCCATACAGCCCCTCTAAAGCCTTACGTAACATTCGCAGACCTCTTTCTACATGAGATCCATTTAGGCTCTCACTCGCTTGAAACATCTGTTAAGAACGTAGGTTACCTATTTTAAAGACACACCACGGATTAAAACTCACAAAAGCAAAGTGGGCAAAAGGACTGCTTCAAAGAATTGAAAAAAAGAAAAAAAAAGATCCCAAATAGTGTAAATAATTGGAGGAAAGGCATGATATCCCAAGATAATTAGTTTTGACTCTAAAACTTTAGCCTTTTGACCTGCAGCAAGTTAATGATCTTCCTTGAATACTTGTAACACTAGCCATCAAGGAGTGTAAGACATCTGCAAAAAGTACACTTTCCGGCGGGCGGGCGGTGGCTCAAGCCTGTAATCCCACCGCACATTCTTGGAGGCCAGAACGGGCGGATCACGAGGTCAGGAGATGAGAACCATCCTGGCTAAACACGGTGAAACCCTCTCTACTAAAATATCAAAAATCTAGCCGGGCGAGGTGGGCGAGCGCCTGTAGTCCCAGCTACTGGGAGGCTGAGGCAGGAGAATGGCGTAAACCCGGGAGCGAGCTTGCAGTGAGCTGAGAATCCGGCCACTGCAGTTCCAGCCTTGCGACAGAGCGAGACTCTATTCCAAAAAAAAAAAAAAAAAAAAAAGTACAACTTCCTAGTAACCATTTGAATGAAACTCCTCCAAAGCTGTCATGTTGCCCCCGCCTCTTAATTGAAAAGAACTGGAAACATACCGTTTAACCTTCTCTGTGTGACCTAGTGTTATCTTTCAGGGCCCTGTTTTCC